TATATTCTTTATTGTGAGAAGAACTTCCTACCGAAGCCTTATAAAAAACGAGGAAAAGATATCCTTTGTAAAATGTGTAATAAAGACAAAGGAATTGGAGTTGTATACAAACTGTTGTGGCTTTAGCCGAATGCATAGTTTATTCATTATATAGTAACGCAATTTTATAAAACAAAATTGAAAAGTGAAACGATATAACCAATTATATTGCTGTTAGTATATTAATATTTCTATGAACATATTTGTATTTTTTATGTTTTAAAGGTTTATTATACAGGGTGATTCACAACTTATCTAAAAAAATTTGGGAATAGATGCAGTATGAGAAATGGAATCAATATTGTAAAAAAAATTTTTGTAAAATCCTTATAGTTTCCCAGAAAAAAAATATTGAAGTTATAGTACATTCAACCACTACATAGCTGGACAACTGTAGTCTCTAGCATCATTTGCCACGTGGCCTCAGCGACTCCGAATACTGAAATCGGATTTTGCAATCGTCGTTGCGATAGTGATGTTTACAAAAGGTCTTTAGTAGTTAGTGTCAAAAATGGTTTGCGTGTAGGTATAGCAACTCGGAGTTGATGGATATCGTTTTAATTTATGGTGAAGCATTTGTGTTATGGTGAAGCAAGATAACATTTGTGTTAGTTCGTAGAAACTGAGTACAACGGACCCCAATGTGTTTACACGTTGGTGGATAAAATATTGTTATAACATCGGGTATGTCAAATGATTTTATTATTTAAAAACACAAATTAATTTTATTAATTAATAAAGGCAAAAGCAGTTGAATTTGCGGATATAAAATAGGTGCGATAAAATTCTATTCACATATTTCTTTCCTTGAGAAAGTTTTTGTCCGTTTTTATCACACCGCCATGCCGGTCGCATTGGGCAAGGTCAAGTTTTACAGTGAACCAGTTTCCAGTGCCGTGCAGAAGTGTATTTTTAAATCATTTTCGAACTACCCTTTTTGATTTTTTCTTTACAAAATTGTATTTGTAAGGGTCCACTGTACATCTATAATTTTTTTTTTGGATAAGTTCTGAATCACCCTGTATAGTAGTTATGGGGGACAACTTCTAAGCTATCCTCAAAGCTCAAAGCCGAGATTCATATTCGTATCTAAATTAAGGGGTGTGGGAATGCAACAGACACATACGTAAAAAGTATGGAAAAAAAGAGAGAAAGGAAATGAGAAACTGGAACATTGTCTTAGTACTAATCAGCACGAATTAGTTCGATATCGATAGGTGATCGTCAATTCTTGCCACGTCTTTCTTTATTCACAGTATTTTGCAATAGGCCTTTTTAATAGTGACCTCACATACGCCAAATAATAGGCAACCCCATAGTACACATTGTCATGCAGCATTTCTCAATATTTTTACTAGATCGGTTTTCGACCTTATGTGCTTTGGATATGTGTCAAAAAAAATGTCTTATTTGTCATGACCTTAAATATCGCGATATTCGGGCAATATTTAAGAAGAAATATTTAAGAAGTTTCAAACCCCAAGTGGCAAACTAAAAGAATTATAGCATTTATATTTTTAAATTTATAGAACAATATTAACTTTTATAATAATTAATTAATAAATTAAAATTATACAATGTTACTGAGCATGCACACTAAAGATAATTTCATGTAAGCGAACTAGCCTGGCAACAGGATACCATTCAAGAAAATTTTGGTTCTGGTTAAGAGTGCGTCTATAATAAACCACTTGAAGAAAAAAAAACACTCGATAAACAGACTGACACAGCAGAGCACCAAGAAAAACAATAAAAAATACTTGGTAGAACTGGAAAATGGCAAGATTAAACAAAAGAAGAGAAAATACGCTAATGATGATATGATAGCCATGATATATCAACAAGATCTCACCTGCGTATGAGGCTTTTCTGCCCGAGCATGCGCATTAGGGACAACACGGCTAATGTAAAATTTTTACTTTATTTAAATTTAAGGATATTTTTTTATATCGTTTTTTTGTAAGATTTAAGCACATTAGTGTATCTATTTTACGAAACACGCGTTGGTTGTTCTTAAATACTTCTAAATCCTTGTAAAAATAACACGACAGAGCTAAATTTTGGTGGAGACCTTGAGTACACCATTAGAAATAAAGTGTCAAAGTCCCCACCGATCCCATGTGTGCTAAAAAAGTTATTCGGGGTCAAAGGTCAAAATTTGAGGTTTTTGGATTTTTTTTTAAAACGGCAAGTTTTATCAAAAAAGTAGCTCTGACAAAAATTATAGATCTGAAAATTATCTACAAAAATGGTTCTTATACTTTTTTTTGTAAAAACCACGATTCCTGAGATATCGCGATTCTAAAAGTTGAAGCAGTCACGTTCTACATGATATGCACATATATGCCACGTATACATACACATAGTCCGGCACTTAACGCAAGTAAAAATGCCTATTTGTGTCTCTTGCATGTATAAACTATACTATTCTGAGAATATACACTCAAAAGAAACTCAGTTCCTTTGTCAAAATGACGCAGATGTCCTTATAATTGAAACAGCAATAGAACAATTTAATGCAACAAATACAACTATTGTAGTTGGTGACTTATTAATACTACTCACTGCAAGGACTCCAATTGATAAAATTATATACTTATTAATACCTCAAAGGTTCAACAGCGAACAGAAATATATTCTTCAAAAAGTTTATCTGCTTTTCAAAATGCCAAAACCATATCTTATTTTTACATGCGATAATCGGCTGCGATACTACATCAGCAATGTTCAGAAGGGGTAAAACATCAGTATTAAAATTATTTGGTTATTATTATTTAAAAACATTTGATTGATTGCAGAAATTGATTCTTCGACTCAAACAATAATCACAAAAGGAATTCGCTTTCTCCTTGTTGTTAAGCAACTCCAAAAAAAAATTGATTGTATAGATAAATATAGATATTTAACTTCTGTAATAAATACACGAAACAAGACACAAGTATAACTATCTTATCTTCCTCCAACATCGGCTTCTGCTAATCAACACTTGTATCGAGTATACTATCAAGTTCAGACATGGCTAGGCAATCAACTGAACCCAGAAGACTGGGGTTGGAAATTAACAGATAATACTTTGGAACCGATTCAAACTTTACTTCCATCTGCTCCGGAAAAACTCCTACACACTATTTTTTGCAATTGCAAAAAAAGGTTGTAGTGCTAAATGTGGCTGTAGAGGAGTAGGGTTACTGTGTTCTCCAGCATGTACTAATTGCCAAAGCCAGTCTTGCTCGAATGTCCAATTGAATACACGAGAGGAAGATTCAAATAGTATCTATGTAAATAGTAAACAAAGGTCAGCTTCTACCTGTACAATTTCAAATATGATAATTTGTTGAGGGTTTCCTAAATATGTGACGTCACACTAAAAGAGTCTATTGGAAGTTTGGTTTCATTTGGTTGTCTCTGACTTTTATCTCTAGAGTAGAGGTGCACAACTAAGTTGTGTACCAACGTCACATTCAATTTTTATGATGATTATTTTATATGTAGAATTCTATATTGCCACAACACTCATGCCTTTTAATTGAAAACAATAATTTTTATGCGATACCGCTATTTAATCATAAATTATGATTGCGAAAAATTTTAAACGAACGTTTTTTCAATTTTTCGTATTTATATGGAATGGTTGCTTCCTGTGTTTTATAATTCAGTTTTTTCGGAAAAGCGATAGAGCTTAATTCGTTTCTGGATGAAAATTTATTTTTATTTATATTTATGGGAGCTTAATATTTTTGCTTTGATACGTAAATATATCTTAAGGTCGAGCTCCTTTATATTATCAAAACTATTTTGTTTTCTTAAAATGAATCATTTTCAGTGCAAATAAAAGTGATTTAGATGCAGCTAATTTCTCACAGAGAGAGCTATCGTATTTCATCCCGTCATTTTTTTTACTAGGATGTTTGTAAACATTTATTTGTCAAAGTTACGTTTACATCTTATATAATTTCGGGTTATAAATTGTAGGAGATATTTTTCCATCAGTAAAATTAATTCACTGAATAATGCATTGCCCACTTGAATAATATTAGGCTTCATGCAATTGAATAAAATATTATACATAAGTTATCACCATTTTTTGTGTGGAAATTGCTAAATTATTTTTCTGTATAAATTATGGTAAATTAAAATTATGTCTTGATTTCAATGAAAAAATGTGATTAATAATTATTGTATTTCCCAATGAAAGAAAATTATTAGAAGCTTTGTACCTAACTGAAATGCTCATTTTCGAAACTAAATTTACTGCCTACTAACATTCCCCTATTGTGAGGCGATAAATTGGAACAGGTCAGAATAGTGACATTTTAAAAGTTTTGCATTCACGTAAAAATATGAATTTTTAATTTGCGCAGGGTTTGAAAAAATCCATAATTTGATTTCAACAGCCACTTTTAAAGGACTGTCATTTCTTAATACATAAAACGTGTTCTCTAAATTTGGTTGAAGGATTTACTCTTTCTCTTCAACTATTTTAGAAACATCCTACTACATATATACTATATTTTCATTTCATTTTATAAATACTTATATGAAATATGTATAGAGGGTAACAAAGACAGAGAAAACTCTATTTTTTGGTGTTTGACAAAAAAAATAATTCTTTAATTTCACATAATTCCGGAAATACTTTTTGTCAGTCAGTTTATGTCTCTTTCTTTCTTCAAATGCCGGTGATTTCAAGTTAAATAAGTTTTGAAGACACTTTAAGGTGTGTTGTTAAATCTGGAGAAGATGAAGGTCAGACAAGTAGTGCTTAAGGTGTTTACGTAACTCCAAAAGTTCAAAGTGATTTGAATAAAAATTCATAAACTCACATGACCGCACTCTTAAGTTCATCGACTTGCGGATGAAATACTTTAAAATTTTCATCAATATTCTAAAAATTACACCTCCTGGGTGTGGTATAGAAAAGACATTGTACTCGTACTAGTCTAAACTACAACAGAAATAACTTACCTGTATAACATCCTTTCCTGTCTGTCCGCCTCGACGTATATCCTGTAGTACATGAAGATCATTACCATTCCCGGTACCCAGAAACTGACACTCGAGGAAATTACGGAGTATGGTCGATTCACCGTAAACACACAGATTTCCGGATTCTTCTTCCGAAAATCCAAATGGTCAAAGGTCGTATACCATCCCATGAAGATAGGAAGGAACGACAGTAACGCGGGACTACACCACACTACCGCGAGCATCAACACCAGCCGAGCATTTGTCATGATTAAGGGGTAGTCCAAGGGTTGGACTATGGCGTAGTACCTGTCCACGCTGATGCAGCACAGATGAAGGATTGATGCCGTTGAAAAGTACACGTCCAGAGAGTTCCACACGTCGCACATAAAGTACCCGAAAATCCACCTACCGCCGGTAAGTTCTACACTAAAGTTGAAGCACATAGCCCAAATGGCTACCAGCATGTCCGCTAAGGCTAAGCTCACTACGAAGTAGTTCGTTATTACCCGTAGTTTCCTATGTCTCATCACGGAGACGATAACCAGCAGGTTACCGAATAGTGCTGCTATGATTATTAACGCCATTACGGTCACTTTCAGGGCTATCAGGAAGCAAAGGGCCCAGGAGTGCGTTGGCCACGCGGAGTCCAAGAAACCTGTGTACATTGAGCTGTTGGTGATGTGGTCCGATGAGAATGTCTCGTTTGAGTTCTCCGATGAGTTGGTCGGTGTTGACTGAGGTGGTGTTTCAGTGATCTTTATCAGTTCGTTCATTGTGGCGACTTGTTAATACTGATGAGTTGATTAGTTTATTGCATGTGGCATCTCCTCGTCCGTTTGACTATCCATAGTTTCTTTTAAGGATATGTAATTTCTGAAAATAAAATTACGCTGTAGCTTTCATATAAAAATAAATAGTTTTGAACAGATATTATACAGGGTGCTTCGATAATTAGTACAAAAACTGTAGGAAGATCATAGAAAAGTCAGACGATTTTTTTCGATGGACTATGGATCTGTATTTGATTTTTTGTTTTTGAGTTGCAGAAATTTTTTTCATCACCTATTAGATAGGTATTATCTTGATATTTAATTTTAATTTTTTTGAGGTAAGGTTTTTTACAGTGAACAATGTAAAATCACACTTTGAAAAAATCGTGCACTCCTGTTAAAATCACTGAAAATGTACCGTTTTTAAGAAAAACACAATTGGCTGTTCCAAATTCAACCAGCTTCTTTCGTTAATGTGCATGGTGCTCGAAAAAGAATGGGCCGTATTTCTTGGTTCAAAAAGGCTGAATTTGGATCACATTACATTAATACAATTATGTTTCTTTAAAACGTTACCAACTTTCAAGGAAATTATTTGTTTTCGGACTAACTCCTATTAGTTAATATACAGGGTGCTAAAGAACAAAAATTTAAAGGGGTGAAAAAGAAGCATAAACTGAGTTAACTGATGTCACAGACTTGTATCGGAAGTTTAAGGTCATAGAGAAAAAAGTTAATTAAAAATGTGTTGAAAACTGTTTTGGAACTGCTGAAATACATGTATTTTATCGCGGAGAGTACTTACAAAAAATTCTGTAACACTTGTTACTAGTTTATAGGCCACTTATGAAGCCGGACTGTATTCGAAAGTCAGTTACAGTACATTGTTGTAGTGATTGCTGTGCTATTTTTCAAGAGTACATTTAATAGCTGTATTTCCAAGTTTTATTTTCAAAATGGCGCATTTATTTAGCAATCGCGAATATTGTAATATGCTCATAATTTATGGAGAAGCAAACGAAAATGCCCACAGACTTTGTGTATCGTGCAAGATATCCTGAACGACGTGCCTCCGCACCGCGAACATTTGTTGCTGTAGCTCAAAGAGTTTTGGACACCGGTGAAGTACAACCACGTCGAGGTCGCAACGGTGGCTCAAGGCGACCACTAAGAATCTTAAATGTCGATGAGATGATTTTATATTTCGTCGAAGAAGATCCGCATCGTAGCACCAGAAATATCGTACCCATTTCATATTCAACGTGCTCAAGCGCTTATTCCTGAGAATTTTCCATTACGTCGAGGTTTTTGCGAATGGTTGCTTCAGGAACATGTAAGAAATCTTCAATTTATAGCGCAAATATTTGTTACAGATGAAGCATGTTTCAGTCGAAATGGTGTACCTACGTAACAGCCACAATACTCACTACTAAACTATCGAAAATCCGCACGAAATACGTCGCGGTGCCTTTCAACAGTTGTCAGTGAACATGTGGGCCGGTATCGTTAATGACGCTTTAATAGGACCTTCTGAATTGCCTAGGCGCTTAGACGGTGCTTCATATCTAGATTGTTTGCAAAATCGCTTGCCGGAGTTGAAGACGTGCCATTAAATGTTCTGTAAAATATGTGGTTACTGCACGACGGAGCCCCCGCTCACTTTTTTTGGAGAGTGCGCGACTTTCTAAACATTACTTTTCCCGATCGCTGGGTAGGCCGCGGCAGCCTAGTTAGATGGCTCCCCCGGTCCCCGGACCTCCCCACTTTAGACTTCTTTTTGTCGGGATATGTGAAAAGTGTTGTGTATTCCACGGAAGTTCGTCACATCGAACGACTGCGATATCGTATTGCCGAAGCTTGTAATATGATTCGAGAGGACGTGGCAATGTTACAACCCGTGCGAGCGAATTGGATACGTACATCGAACATTTTCTATGAAAATCAGCAGTTCTCAAAAGGTGGCTCCTTGTAATTTTGAGGTAAGTCAGATTTTAAAATTACATTTTATTCAACACAAATCCGTATATTTAACCACATTGTGACATAACGGACATGTGGCAAAAATATTTGACATAAGTTCATTAACACCCTGTGTAGGGTTAAGTAACGAAAGCTAACTGACTTTGGTATAGTCAATTGCGTTTTTATTAAAAAAAGTGAGTTAATAAGAATATATTTTTGTATGCCTACATTCTGTCAAAAAAGTATGCCATAATTTGTCAATATATATAATATATTCATTTAATCATCAAAATTTGTCGTGTCTTCTTCAAAATAGGCTCCATTTGAAGCAATACACTTATCCAACGAATAATCCAGTTGTCAAAGGACGTGTTCCTCGAAGTGATAGACTGAGTTTGGGAAAAAGTCAGCAGGGGCCGTATCTGACGAATACGGTGGTTGCTCGATGACATTCGTTGAGTTTTTGGTTAAAATGGGCTTATAATGATGGTATTGATGGTGCATTATCGCGGTGCAAGATCCAAAAATTGCCCTTCCATAAATCAGATACTCTCACTCAGATGCCAGATAATATTCTTTGTTAACTGTTTCTCTATCCGGAAGAAATTCTGTGTGGACAACACCATTATAGTTAAAGCAAACAGTCAACATGACTTTTGATCGACTCTGACATGGTTTATTTGCTTCCAGTCCAATAGAAAAGCGCTATTCCAAAGTTTGCCGGCTAGTTTGCATGTCAAACTCGTAAACCCATGTCTCGTCATCCGTTATGATGCGTTCCATGCGTCCCAATTAGCTCGTCAAGGCATGTCTTCAGTCTTTTTGTAGAAAATTCAACTCTTTTGGAACCAGCCGTACTGGGACGCGTTTCATACCCAAAACATCAACTAATAGGGTGCGAACTGATCCGTGAGATATGTTTAGTTCATATGCCAGCTCTCTCAAACCATAATGACGGTTTGTAAGTATCATTTATACAATAATTCAGCACAAGAAATTCTGTTGGTAGTACAAAATTTTGGGCAAACTCTTTGTTCAATAACATTATTCATAGCAAAAATTCAGGTGGATAACAAAATGAACAGCTGCAAACAAACTACTTCACAGATCGCGCTCAAACTTCGCGTTAGAGTAAAATACAGTGTTACCAACTTTCCACCAAAAAAAGAATTTTACGCGGAATTTTTAAATTATCTGCAAATTCCGGATACTTTTTTGACAAAATGTTTGATATACAATACAAAAAAGCTAACCTCAAAAAAGTTATATCATAGAATGTTACTGTGAGAGAAGGTACTTGGTGTATTTGACATATTCAAAAACTTACTTGAACCAAATTTAAATGCAATATGTTATGTATCTCAAAAATATGGGATATGTCTATGGCGCGAATTAAAAAATTATCTTATTTTTTATATTTTACCATCTCCTAAATTTTTTGCGGTAATTTCCACAGCATCCTGTATTTTATTATTTCAGTGGCCATTAATAATTATGCTTTAATATATGTAGATTAAACTCACTGTAAATAAATAACATCAACATGTTGCCTCTTTTAGTGATGCACAGGTTCATATACGTGTTATCAAAATTAATTTACAGTCTCCCATTGCAAATAACCGAAGAGTTATTGCAGATTTGTTAGTTATTAATGTATATGTGTAATTATTTGTTACAAATTATATTTAATGCATAACATAGCGTTGATTTGAAACGAAAGTACATTTACAAAACAAATAGACATTATTAAAATATGATTAACAAGCAGTATTAACATTCTACTATACAGGATGTAAAAGCGACGTTTCAACAATATTTCAGGGTTGTTGCTTCATCAACATAAAAAACGGAAATAATATTTTTTTCCTGAAGTTATTGTTAAGGGTTCTATAATCCTTCAAATATTAGAAGTGACACGTAGTATTTGATCAATTTATTCAAGAACTATTATATACTTCAATAGTTCTTGAGTAAAGGTCAAATTTAGTAGCAGGTACATTGATGTGAAATTTATAGGAATAGTAACCAGTACGGAGCAATTAGAATAAATTTGAAAGGTCAAAAAAATGCAAAAACTACAACAGTTAGGGTTATAAAGTAGCGGATTAGTAAAAAAGTCAATTTCTTAAGAAATAGAGGCGCACAATTATTATCAAAATAATTGCATTTATCCGCATTCCTTTTATTATAATACGTGAATTCATGGATAACTTTAGATGAAGAAGTTAATATGACTTTTACTCATGATCCTGAACTATTAACAATGAATGAAATAACAAATGGGGTCAAGGCTTTGAGATGAAATGGTTGTTTTTTTTTTTCAAATTTTACATTGTAATGAGTACGAGTACTACGAGTGAAGTTTTCGATGGTTTTTGAGCAAATGACCAAACAGCATTTCACTTTCATTTTTTGAAAAATAATGAGTGAGTGCTCTTAGGAACTATGTTAGAAATAAATGTTACTGTTATTTTTTTTAAATTTATTTTGATGGGAGGAAATTTTGTTTCCACGTCGTTCGTTATCTCTTGTATCAACATTCAAAAGTTTAAACGGAAATAGTTTAGAATGAGAAAATTCACTCATTTAATACATATATTATTGTCTATTAAGTTAACGCGGATTCCGTTGAGACCATATGTATGTTTATCTGCTCCCACTATAGTAAATAGACTATTAATACATTATTTTTAAAGAGGTAAGTGGATTTTACCGTAGAAATGGAAATTGCTATGGACAAAGTGAGGTAACTTACCTCCTTAGGAGAAAAAGCGATTTCGAGTTATAAATGCATATTTTATGAACAAATACATAGAAATATTTGATGCATTTTATTAATTATTATGAATGAAAATTTATAGTAATTGTACAGTTATTCATTTAGTAACATATATAAAATCTGGATAATTCTTCCCGTCACATTTTTCTCAAAATGATTTGACCGTTCCATTTCAGTTACCGGATGGTCAATATTATCTGACTGACCTATTAAAACAGCATGATACGACGTACTACTAGAACCTGAAGTTGAAGTGTCACTG